CGCCACTTAGATTACGTGAATTTTATCAGTCACTCCTTTTGTTTTCCAAACAAGAATGAGGAATACAGCTATGGAAGAATGGAACAAAGTCTAGTCTCCAGCAAAATACAGTTTCATTAAGGTAACACTTTGGATTTATGAAAGAAAAGACCACAACTGAATTCTAGAGAATGACTGCAGATAAAGTCATAAATCACTCACAGAAAGTTATAGCAATTGCCTGGAAAGAGAAGTCATTAAAGGAACTGGGAGATCTTTACAAGGACTCTTTTTACACTGACCTGAGGGACACAGTTCTCAGAAAGTTGAAGAAGTATCTCAAAGCTTGGATTGTTCTGTCAGCCATCAAACATGACAGCAACACAGTTGCAGTTTTCTTCTCATTTCCTAGCTGCTGAGCTTTGAAAAGGCCTTCCTGCAGGTGAGGTGGAAGGATGGGTTCTGGCAGCTCTCTAAAGAACTGTTTAAGAAGCCCTGCAACATCACATGGCAGTGCAGCTGAAAGGCAGTTTTCACCTTGATCCAGTTTACTCTGAAATTGTTCATAAGAAAGATGATTTGAAGTCTTCAATATACCATCAAGATTCCTAAGTTCAGGAATTAATCCTCTAGCCCATATCAGAGAAAACAGTCACAACTTGCCCATTTTTTTAGTTTCAGCCTTGTCATGTTTTACTTAACTACAGTATCTACAAAGAAACACAGATAATGTTGTCAGACCACATGTGTTAATTTATGTATTTCACACATGCCCATCCTTCTGGGAGAACACAGCTAAACAAATATCCTTATGGTATCCAGTGTGTGTAACTGCCAACAAATTTGTTCAATCCCAAAGTGTACTTTTGCTGTCTAGAAAGCTGAAAAAATTCCCAGAGCAGGGAGAGGGGGGAGGTGAAGTTTGCCATTTTCTGAACTAGAGCTCTTCTAATTTCTAAAACAAGTAATATTACCTGTCTACTTCCAATATTAAAGCTTGACTATAACTGAAAGGAGCCCAAAAACTAAAACATGCAGATGACCAAGTGAAATGCAGATTTATTTTTTTTAATAAAAAAAACCAAACAAACAAAACTGTCAATAATACCTTTAAAGCTTTTAAACGAGCAAGAGATCCAGACTTTCTGAAGAGTCCCTCGGTCTGAACATGTTCTTCCAAATACTTACAAGAATCAACAAGAAAGCTGAGGAAAAAATGGTAACATAGTAACATAGTTCTGATACTCAGAATAAGATTTATCTTTTCCCAGAAAAGCTATTAAATGATAAACAGATAAAGCACATATAGGATAGTTTTTCCGCAATGACAAGTAGCATAAAGAAATACAATTGAATGATAGCTGTGGCTCTGAATTCCCATCTAACTTCTGCATCCCTTCTTCTCCAACTGAAACTATTCTTACATCTCCTATAAGCTTTAGCAGGTTTGGAATAAATACGTTCCCTCTTCTGACAAGAGTTCAATACTATAAAGAGAGCAAAGCATAAATTTAAAGTGTCAATTTACCTTGGAATATAACCATATTCTGGCACAAGTGATTGTGGTAGCGCATGAAAAGATATCCCAAAGATTTTACCCTAAAACACAAAATTCAATTAATGTTTTTCAAAAGTTGATAGGATACCAACTACATACAGTCAGGAAAAGCACATATTCCACAAAGTACAAAAGGAAGGGTAGTTCAGACAAAGAACAGTCCCTCAGATAAGACAGATAGGAAAAGAACTATCTTCTCCAGCTATCTGTGTGTATGCTGGTACAGGTAACACCCTAGATTACGTGAAAGAATAGAAAGGTTTTCTGCAGTATGTTTTGCACTTTTTTTTTTTTTTTTACAAGGGGACCATTTACAGGTAATATCGTAGGGATATTAGACTCTTCTGGAATCTCACTGTACCTTTTTGACTATTTTTCTTAAAAAATCAACGCAACACAGAATATATTTAAGTGTTTTGTTTTGTTTTTTCCCCCCCCATCAGCTGATGCACTCAGGATTGCCAATTCATGGATGATCAAACTCAACAGAATAGTCTAGAAAGTTGTTCTAAACTCTTACATTTAGCATCTGTACTTGAGAAACAGTTACGATTCCATTGTCTTATAGCTGGACATCAGTTTATCTGTTACATATTAGAAAACAAGCAATTCCTTCAGCATCTACTGTTGCTCACCTACAGCATTTAAAAAAAATAAATATCCAAGATTCCTGCACAGTTATAAAAGCTGACATTTCAATGTTGCAATTTGTACTTTTATTTCTCTGCCCCACCTCTTTCTACTTGTATTTGCTGAAGGTTCAACCCAGCTCCTCCCCAAACAGGAGAGGATTGGGATCATACCCAACTTGTTATCAGAGATGAATGCAAACTCTTAGTCATTTATACCTGAAATTCAAAGTGCTGACCATGTTGAGACAATAGTTAATCAATAACTAACCCACTAGGCCACTCCAGGCCTACAAAAAAACAACTCGATAAGGGAAGAAAAGCAACATTGCCATTGTATTCCAAGTTGCTACTAAAAGTACAAAAAGAGAACTAACTCCAAGATACATACTATTTGGGGTTTGGGTTCCCCCTTCCCTTCTCCCCCCTGTATTTACAAGATTATGCAATAGAGAACTGCAAGTGACTTGTAACATAACATTCAATATTTGTAACCAATACCCTCACTTTGCTAGGTTTTGTTTGAAACATCAGAAGTAACAATTTGAGTTCTTAAAGTTTTCTGTTCCTTTACAATAGAAATAGAATGCACCCAGCAAACCAATATACTCTATACCTTTGCCTACCTTGGTCAACTGTTATTTAAACATGTTTTTTTCCTCTTATTTAAGTACCACAGGCACCTGTATACACATCTTTTATCATCACATATATTTATTATTCACAGCTCTTATTATCTTCCCTTTAAGTGGGAGGGAGAGGGAAGAGCCTAGAACCACATGCTTTATATGGCTTTTACTTTACCCTTGCTTTTTGCATTACCGGACAACTCAAGCATGTTTTTGCAATTTCCTTGGCTTATATTGACTAAGGGTCACTACAGCATTTTGTAATATCTCCATCTTACAGAAAGCTCATTGTGAGAATGCTCAGTTCTGTGCCGTATCAGTTGCATGGAGAACTTGGTTAGGACATGATAGCATCCATGCTTTAAGTTAGAGTCTACCAGAAAATCAGTGTTCTGAAATAGTCTTCAATGCTGTATAAACTGGCATCTGTTACGTTTAGTTTTACTTAAGAGCACTGAGACAGAAAGCACACTTTTTCCCCTTCAACAAATTCAAAGTAGGTATTTAAGGTAACAGGATAGATTTCATTCCTCAGAGCACAGATCTCTGTACCAAAATATGTATATAGCCATATCTTATACTGAGAGACCATAAAAACAAAGCTCGTCAAAGCAAAAATCTAAGGAATCAAGTAAAAATAAGAAACATAAAGCTTTTAGAAACAATAGATACGTATTCTGAGAAATAATACAATGACAAAGATTTAAATTCCATTGTGACTGACATTAAACACAGTAAAGAGTAAAAAGCTCTTGTGCAGATCAGAGGCATGAATGCGTGTTTGAGTGGCTATCAACTACATCAACACAGAAGAACCATCTCCTTCACCATCCGATCTACCTCGCAGCGTTCAGGTCCTAAATAAGGGTGCGGGTGTGCAGTGGGGGGAGGAATTTAGCATCACTAAACCACTATCTAACTACATCACGACATGGCCACCCTGAGGAACATCTGGAGCATTTGCTTGCTGAGGAAAAAGGGGGAAAACCGACTTCTCTCCTTGAAGGGATTCAGCCGTCCGCCCGCCCCACCCCCCGAGAGAGGGCTAAACCCCATCAAGGATAAGCAGGAACAACAGCGTTACGGTGACGTCCCCGATACCAGAATCGATGCCCACCGAGGACGGAAGGCCAGCTACCAGGCTCACATTAGCTTTGCTCATATTGCAGCAACCACCGAGCTCACCCACCCCACCGCGGCGGAAAGCCGGGTACCGTCGCTGCCCGGCCAGAGGGTGTCCCCCCTAGGCACTGCAGCGCTACCATCCTCCTCAGCCCCACTTACCTCCGCAGCCGCCGCTCTGGGCTGCACGGCCGCCTCCAGGCAGCTCCCACTCTTCACCTTAATTCCGTAAGAGGCCCGCAGATCCTCCAGCACCGCCAGCCGCACCACCCTTCGCCTGTGCTCCGCCATCCCAGCGCCCGCCACCTCCCCGCCCTTTCGCTCCCCAGCCCCTCACCGCCTCTCACACCCTACTCAGCGCCATCACAACCTCGCAACATGCAAACCAAACACCCTCCACTCCCGCACCACCGGTTACCACTCAAACCCAGCGCCTCGCCCCGCCCGCGCCTCCGATTGGGGCGCTGCCGCATTCGAAATCAGGCCCCCTCAGCCCAACGGCTGGGGCGGCTTGTTCGCATGGCGCCTGATTCCTGCGCGCGTCCTCAGCCTCTCTCAACTGCGAAGGCTTTCAGGCGATCGCGATGGGCACCTAAAGGCTCTCCCTCACGGCTGCTGGTGCTGGGGCCCTGTGGCGGCAGCGCGGTGTCTTTGGAGGGCAGCTAGGGCCGGTTGCCGGGTGGTGTCCGCGAGTGGCTGCGTGCAGCCGGGTCCTGCCGGGTCTCTGGGCAGTGGGAGCTGGCGCAGAACAGGCCCAGCAAGCCGGGAGGGGGGCATCTCAAACACTACCTCCGCGTTTCCTGCCGCTCTCCTCCAGCAACTCACAGGGCAGTGTTACCAAGTTTTAGGGTTAGCTTGGTTGTTTACTTGGAAATGTCTGCTTGTTTACTTGACAATAAATTTTAATTTAAAAAAGTAAACCACTGCAGTTTTGTGAGGAAACTGAATTCTTAAAGGAGGAATGAACATGCGGTGTCAACTTTGATAGTATTGGGATACAAAAAAGACCGTAGATCCTTACAACTGCTGTAGTCAGTGGTGGTTTTCTTCCGTTAGCTCTGGTCTGTGCAGATACATCTGGCATCACCATTTTCGGTGCACAGAGGCACAACTCACAATTTAAGTGGCAGTTAAACCATCAACACCAGGTTCGTTTGCACTTTGTAAATTTGGGGTTGCTTACCTATGCCATACTGTGTTCTCATACACCTTTTCCAGGGGGGTCATTTGGGGTTTTGCGCTGTGTTACAAGAGCAACTGCATTTATTTCTACTATTTTTTCTTTTTAAGTTTCTGTGCCAAAGGTAACTTATTTTAATAACAGTGAAATTAACAGAATGCAATCTTTCTGTGTGAAATCGAAAATAAATGCTGTAGCAAACACACTGTAGCAAAATGCTGTAGAAAGGAAAAGCTTTCGAGCTTTTCCTTTATACATGATCTTTTACAAGTTCTGAAGAGAGTCTAAGAGAGAATACCACAAAGTTTAAATTCATAACAACCACATTGTGGTGATCTGAAAACCTATGGACACAAAAGCTAGAGAGTAAACCAAAGGAGAATAGCTATAGTTTTTCCACAAGTCATCAAAATAAAAACAGGGAGAAAAAACAAACAGAAAACCAAACAAACCTCTAGAAAGTTGTGTGGAAGAAGACCTAGCAGCAATAAAAAATAGCAAATTAGACATGAATTTTCATAAGTAAACCCACAGGATTTTGATTAGGAATGTCAAAATCATGCCATTGAGCAAAAGTAATATTCCCCTACATGCAGTTTTAGTGCAGCCTTACTGTAAGTAGTATTATCTTCCTGGCTCTGAAATTGCATGAAAATACAAAATTACCAAACCTAAAATATCACTGATGACAAAAGTAAAAGGAATAAAATGAATGGGTATCATATAATAGAGTTTAGACAATTTCCATCCAACTTCACTTAGTTTTCTGTAGTAACGATGAATTACACAAGAGGGAGCTGTGATCTGATAAATGTATCAAAAATTTCCATGTCAAGTATTTTCCATTCAGTATTCACAGAAGAAAAAGCACATGGTGATTGTGCTGTTTTGTGTTCCCCCCCCCCAAAAAAAAAAAAAAAGAGATGGTGATAATCTTTCTACATTTTGCAGAAGCATTTAAAACCAAAGTGTTATCTAGTAATTTTGTCCAAAACATTTGTCAAATATTTTCATATGCTTTAGGTGACTGTTTTAACATATTTCTGCTTTATTTACAGGCAGGGACTGGAGCAGAAAAATTACTTTGCAAATAAGAAGTAGGCTTCTAATTTTGGAACCAGTTTTAACATTCCAACTCAAATTACACTCTTCCAAAATTAAATTGGGAAAAACCCCCATAAACAGCTATTTAATGATTCCCCCCCCCCCCCCCAAGAATTGTTTAAGAGTTGACATGTTAAGATTTGACATGTTAAGTTTCTGGCCTTTTAGATAATTCTAATTTTCAGAGGCTATAGATGAAATCCTGCCATGAATTAAGTAAATGGCATAACTCTGTTTTGTCATCAGGAGGGCCAGGTTTACACCAATTTTTGCATTAGCATGTAATACACAAATGTATTTGTACACACACTCAGGCACACTTTTGCACTATCCATATATAGGTGTATGTTTACATTTTGGGAGAAAAAACCCCACATGAGCACCTGCCTTTAGCCTGGCATTTTGTGAATTTGGAAGCTACTCCAGGAAGCAGAGCTTTAAAAAAGTCCAATGTTTACTAATAGTCTCATTTCAGTAACCAGTTAGAACAGTCAGCTGCCAAAACAACAGAAACTCAGCCAGAGGAAGCAGAAACAAGTTACTTCAGCAAGCAGAGTAACATACTGAAGAATACAGAAAACAGATCTTACTGACAAGTACTCTTACTCTACCTGACCAAACTCAGAACCTGGTGGGAAATAGTGTAAGTATCCCTCATGCTGTCAGTAAAAGGGCTATTTTTGCTTTACTACTTCAAGCAAACAAGTGGAGGGCAGAAGGATCATAAGGGCAGATTGTGAATAAGAAAGATCATGAGAGCAGAAAGACAGACCAACCCATCCAGGAGAAACTAAAAAGTAACCGCACAACGGGCCTTTACGTATTGATGTCCTCAGAGTCTGACTACTAGCACAGCTTATTCTGAACACATACTCATTCTTGTGCCTTTCCTGGCTTTCTTGCTTAATGAGGAATTATTTAATTCCCAGTTGCCATCTCTGTGTGCTGTTCAGCCTGTGTTTATATTAGTTATGTCCCTTTTCCATCTCCCACTCTCTCTGCTGCTTTGTCTTGTCTCCAGTAAACAATTTTGCCCAGGACCAAAAGTGCTGGGGGATCACTGTCATGAAACAGTCTCCCTACTTGCAACCATGCAGAATTATATCAGAAGCAAAACAATCTGTATATTCTGAATACTTTCAACATGTAAGGTTAACTTAAGTGTATCTGAAGTAAGAAAATAAGGTTAGAAAGATGTCTTCCAAACTGACATTCAACATGAATTTACTCTGAACCATGGTTTGAAGGATTCTATAGTAATAATATAGTTCTATTTAAGCCATGTTTCATTTGGGCTACAAATTTGATCTCAATTTACAAGTTTTGTTGATTAGGCTGAGAAATTTGAAAAAATGCCTTTTACCACACTAAGGAAAGGGACAATTTTTTTGAAGTCACATACTGTCTTGGAAAGCAGCGTGTGAAAGTTAAAGAGTGTGTCTGATTCAAAGCAGCTTAGCTATTGATGATACTATACTGGTCAACTCAACTCAGTGTATACACTTTCTCTTCCAAGTGTTTGATGTTTTCAAGCATTTCAGGCTGAAACTTGGAGTTTATACTTGACACTGTGCATGGCATTTTGCATTTACAGTATGTTTCATTTTGTCCTTCTTAATTTTTATCCCTAACCCTGAAAGTGTTCAAGACCAGGCTGGATGGGGCTTTGAGCAACCTGATCTAGTGGAAGGTGTGGGATTGAAGCTAGCTGATCTGTAAGGTCCCTTCCAGCCTAAACCATTCTATGATTTTATGATTTAATAACACTAGTAGGACTGTTCTCTCTTTTCTGGTTTTCTCTCACTTGCAGTTCTTGTGCTTGAATTGTTAAATGGTCTGAAACTGGCAACTTGCCTGCGACAGAGTGATTTAACAACTACATGTGCAATCTTCACCCATGGTTTTCAATTCTGGAGCACAAAATTCTAAATAAAAGGTGTTAAGATATCTCTAACAAGGACAAATGTTTTAAGCTGTTCCTCAATAAAGAATGTTATCCAGTAAAACCAAAACATCTATCTGTGTATCAAGCTGCAGGATGTACCTTAAAATTAATGCAGAGTTGAACAAGCCACCTAATAGACACAGATTTCTACATCTGCTGCTTAAACCACAACTGATTTCTTGAGTTAAAATACAGACTGATACAGTTATAACACACTTAGAATTGTTATAGGCTTGTATTTTATTGACATTGTAGACTGTTGGACAGCTTAAGCAACATGTAAGCAAGGCAGCCCAACTGATGGTCTCCTCAAAATGGAAATAATAAATGAAGACTAGTAGCATTCATCTGAATAGCTTGCAAATATTGCATTAGAAGGTAAAAGATTGGTTTGCTTCCTATCTTAGTAGTAAAATTAAAAAAGAACAGAGGTACCCAGAAAGAAAATAGTCAAAATGGAAAGGCAGGAGTTGCATTCTCCAGTTTAAATAAGGTTTATTTAACAGAAATGTGAAAGGTAAAGGAGACTAAAGCTAACACAGAAGTTGATGATGCATATTTCCACCTTAACATGTGTGTATGATAACTGGGAATCCAGGGGAAGAACCCATGTACATGCAAAAAACCCAGGAAAGGTTCTACAAAATTCAAGCCACTGTCCTGGAAAGCATGCTTTTGTTTAAAAATACTAGGAAAAAAAAAAAACCTAAAAGTTCTAGTAGTTCTATAAGAAGTAGCCTGTAGTAGATAGAAAAAACAGTCAGTGTTTTGTTGATCTTTTATTCCCATTCAATTTTCCTAGAGTGCTCCATTTCTCAGAGAATATACTCATAGCAGTCTTTTGTTTCTATTCAGCATAGAAATTACTACTGAATTCTCTACTTCATGCCCCCAGTGTCACAGGGGATGGGTAATGGCAGTTGCAGTCAGTTTATCACACACTGTCTCTGCTGCTCCTTCCTCCTCAGGGGAGGACTCCTCACACTTTTCCCCAGCTCCAGTGCAGGGTCCTTCCCATGGGAGGCAGTTCTCCATTAACTTCTCCAGTGTGAGTCCTCCCCATGGACTGCAGTTCTTCACAAACTGCTCCAGTGTGGGTCCCTTCCATGGGGTGCAGTCCTTCGGGAACAGGCTGCCCCAGTCTGGGTCTCCTGTGGGGTCACAAGTCCTGCAGGAAACCTGCTCCAGTGTGGGCTTCTCTCTCCCTGGGGCCACAGGTCCTGCCAGGAGCCTGCTCCAGTGCTGGCTTCCCATGGGGTCACAGCCTTCTAGGGGCACCCACCTGCTGTGGCATGGGGTCCTCCATGGGCTGCAGGTGGATATCTGCTCCACCATGGACCTCTGTGGGCTTCAAGGTGCCAGACTGACTCACCATGGTCTTCACTACAGGCTGCAGGGGAATCTGTTCCTGTGTCTGGAGCACCTTCTCCTCTCCTCCTGTACTGACCTTACTGTCTGCAGAGCTGTTGCTATCACATATTCTCACTTCTGGCTCTGGCTGCTGTTCCATAGCAGTGTTTTCCCCTTCTTAAGTATGTTATGTATAGCAGAAGTGCTACCACTGTCACTGATGGGCTCGGCCTTGGCCAGTGGTGAGTCCGGCTTAGAGCTGGCATTGATTCTGTTGGACATATGAGAAGCTTCTCTCAGCTTCTCAAACAAGCCACCCTGTAGCCCCATCTCCAGCCCCCCAAAACCTTGTCATGCAAACCCAGTACCGGGTTCTTCTCTGAAGAGAGATGGTTTTGATCCATCAAAATAATCGTGCTGAGAATGCATTATTGAGACAACTCATTCATTCTGAAGACCTATGTTTCTAGAATTTAAGGGTTAATAAAATTTCCTTGGAGGAAATAAAAGGTTTGGACTGGTATAATTCTGTACATGGAAAGGAAATTAACATTTCTCTTATATTACTTCGCATTTATAGAATACTAGAGATTAGAAGTGTTTCACAAACTATATATAGGACTCAGCTCACCTGCTGAAATCCTCAGTCCGTTGAGAGTACAAAGGCATTGTCTTGGACAGACCCAAGGGAAAAGTTAGATGGGACACGAAGCATCATGTCTGGTGTCACAGAACTTGTCATAAATATTCCAGAAGGACATTAGTTTTTCATTGTTGCCTTAGCAAATTGTTATCACATTGTGAAAGTAATGACTCATAGGGAAAAGCCTTATCTGTTTATTTATGGCCACACATTAATTTTCATAGATTGTCAGAGTTTAAAGCAAAAATGACTCCTAGATTGTCTAGTCTGACCTCTTGTATGTCACAATCAAGCAATTTATGTACTATGAGTAACAACTGATAGTTAGACAGTTTTCTAATGGAAGAATGATGCATATTTGACCCTCTTGGGCACAAAAAAGCAAAAATTGCATTCCTTGGCAAATGCTGTAGCTGCTATGAAATTGTCTAGAAGATGGGTGTAAACCTCTCCTCTAGCTACACTGATAACAAAGCAAGAATCTGAAACTCCATTTTATAGCCTGCCTAGTCCTACAGAGGCCTATTTTGAGGAAGCCTGTCAGATCGTTACTGAAGGAAGGTTTAGACTAAAGAACTAACTTCTAGATTTTGGAGATGAGGTAAAGTAAAAGAGAAAAAAAGCCTCTTCTGGCACTTCTGGGCAAGTTCATATTCTAAATGCCTTAAGAATGTAAAAAACAAAGTGCAGGAAGTTTGAGTGCTTCTAGCCCCGGGTGAAAACTGACTAGAAGTCTAAAGGGGGCTTTAAAGTTGCTACTTTTTCTTTGTGCCTACAGTGGGATCTCAGCTGGAATGCAGCTGACCAAGTCTTATAGGAGACATCCAAGGCTTTAGTCAGATACGGCATAGCATGTTTGAAGTAGGAGGTGTTCTGAAGTCTTTAGAAGTTTAACTCCAGACCCAAATCTTGATGTTTTCTCTCCTGACTTTTGATCTCTCCCTTTCAATTGGTGTGGGAAGGAGAGATGGTAAAGCAAGCTGTGTATGAGAAATTAAAATGAGAACAAAAGCTTGTCCAAATTATGCAACAAGGATCATTATGCTATAAAATTGCTCTTCAAATGTGGCTGTCAGTAAAAGATATTAAGATTTCAACAGTTACTTTCTTGATGAAGACTTAATTTCTTGCATAAAAAGGTTTTTAAGCTTAAAGCTGTGCCTACACAATTAGTGTCCTTTGGTTTTTGGAATGTTTGAAGGGTTCTATGAATGTTATAGAAGTATTTTTCATCACTACAGATCAGTTGTCTGAAATTACTTTCAGAATAGTCTCGTAATTTAAACAATTTACAACAAAGGTATCACTAGATAGAATGATTAGTAGATCCTTTTGCAATAGAACATATGTAGTTCTAGGAACTCAGTGCAGACTTGAGGGTTGTGCTGCTGTATCTTGGCCTAGAGTTGGACTTGGACAAAACCAAGCAGTAGCTAAATTTCATCTGCAAATTCAAAGGAGAACTTTAGTGGAGTACAGCAGAGAACAGAAGCCACAGGCTCTCTTTAAACCCCATTCTCTGTTTCTTTTATGGAATGGAGATTTTCTGTGTACAGTGGGGCAGAAGTAAGCTATTTTAACATATCAACAGTGACCGTGTTCAAAGAAATAAATCTGCAGATAATATTCATGATGGTGGTGGTTAGTTTCATAGACTGCACAGCAGTGCTCATGTCACTGGAGGGCTCTGCTGTGCATATCTATAATGAAAGCACACTATTTGGCCTAGGAACAGCCTGATATGTGGTTTTAAGAAAGCTTATTTTGACAATCATGCACAGACTTTCCTTCCTCAGTTTTCCCCCTAATCATCCTACGCTAATCAGTTACACAGTTGTTTCTTGTGGTGGTGTTATGATACCCCCACTACTTGGGATGGGAAATCTGGCCCCTGTTCCTAACTCTTTTTTCTGCTGTGTGGTCCTGGGCTCCTCTTAAACCTCTATCTGTAAAAGGCTGTCTACTGAATATTTAAATGACAGTAGATAATTAATTTGTGGGTTTACTTAATATTCCCCCAATTCTTTTTCCATTCTTTTAATATATGGAGTTGCTTTAATCTGATTTCTTTCCACAAATTCACTTATTTTACCTCCAGTAGAAAATATAATTGTACATGAACCAGAATGTTCACTGTTATTTATTTTCTCTTTTTACCTTCCCTTTCTTTTTACACATTTGTATTACAGATGTGCCTGCTAGACTTAGCTAGCATTTCAGCCTCTCTATGCTAGATCCTACATAAAACCTGCAGGAGGCAGAACCTATTAGGAAAAGCTTGGAATCCAATAAACAAGGGAGAATGTATTATTAGGTAGAAGAGGTACAAACTGATGATACTGCTTGTCTAGAAAATCAGTGGCTAAGATGACTTCTAAATATAGAATCTAGGTCTTTTAGAATTGAGTCCCACTAAACACCCACGGACCTATAGAACCTCTTTTTTCATAAAGCATCAGTAATTCTAACTGGGTAGAAACAGTGGTACTGTGTGACTTAGACATACGTTTCTCTTATATGGCCCTATCCTGTTACCTTTGTAATAAATATAAAGAATTCTAATGGCTATTTAGTCCCACTCATCTTGCAAAGCAAATAAGTAAAGGGAGCATACCTTCAAATAAGCTTATACAAACTGTTTGGTGCACAAAGTGTATTTTCACAACGTGGGACTGGTTAGCAACTATGATGGAGAAAAAACCAAACTGCTCAATTTAGACAATGATGACTTTTAACAGATCACAGTATAACTTTGTTATCACCCATTTGCATATCTAAATAGTCTACTGACAAACAAAGAAAGCCAGACACAAACATTCAGCATTAATGTAGGTGACTGTAGTAAGGTCACATCTATTACTCCTACTTTCATTATGGTTACTTTAACAAATAGCACTGATTTCTCACTGTTGTAAGGGTTATATGTGAGTGTAGTTAGCGTCTTGTTACCTATAAAGCCGTAATCCTGAAACCTCTTACACGTATAGATACCTTTCTATTGTTTGTGGGTGGATCTTAAACCATTTCACAGACTCAGCATATTGAGTGCAGAGAAGTTCAGTCAGCTTTCTGTGTATGACTAAGGGAACTGGATCTCTGCTCTGTAGGTCTGTCTGGTGCAATCTTAGGTGACCAAATGTCAGGGGAAAGAATTTGTCACTTAGGAGTGGCATCACACAACTGTGGATCTGCAGCTTCCATTGCTGGGACACATGTACGTGGCATGCCTCCTTGTGGGAGCTTGCAGGCTTTTGAAACTGTCTGCACTGTGCAGCTAAGCGCTGTTCAATGGTCAATCTTTTTCTTATTACATCTCATCATATATTCGTTTTGTTTTATTACTTGTTGTATTCTGTATGTTTTAACTGTGTTATCTCATTCCTCATCACCTTAGATAAATGAAAACTGACCGTATTTAATGTTAACATAGTCAGCAACCCTGTTAAATACACTTGAATTTTCATGTAGGAAAACTTTTTATTTTACAGGATCAGAATTAAGTCTGCTTATCTATTATTTTAATTATTTTAGAAGAAAACATAAAAGGAGACCGAAGGAGACTAAATACATAGAGAATCAGAACTTAAGAGAAGAACAAAACAGAACAGAAAATTTTCTTGAGACTGATAACAAAAAAGGCAAATAAGAATCTACTGCTGTATACTTAAATTTCCTCTGTTATTTGTGATCTCTGGAATTTTGCACTGGTTTTAACATGACATTTCAAAATATCTCTGCTTTCCAAATTGCCATATTGGACTTTTTCCACAGCTTTACTCTACTAGGCAAACTAGTTCTAACCATCTATATGTAGCTATTTTGACATATATGCTATTTATATGTTATTTTAAAATTTATTTTCTTTATAGTTACTTACTTTTTCTCCTAAAAATACACATAAGATTAGTGTTTATCTAGGAAATGCAGAAGTTCTTCTGGATTTTTTTGTCTTGTGACTACTGATAAGTTTAGATTCTTATTGCATCTGAAAAAAATTACCTGCCTTCCACTTGAAGGCATTCACACTGGTGTCAAGATGTGTCAAGATCTTTTGCTGTGCCACCTCCACTGAAAGGCTGTCAAGGTGAAAACATTACATGTCATCCTGGCTTCCCACGCTACATCCAATTTTAATTTACTCTTAAATTGCCACATATCTTGTGAGCACTTGTGAGTATTCACAGTGTATCACAAGATATTATAATACACTGTGAATACATTGTATTCTATTAAGTAGATGTTTATAATCCATGTTTCCTTCAAAAATAAAAAAATTGAGTAATACAGCAAAATGAAGGAATACTGCACTTTTCAGATTGTGGTATTTGTAACTGTTTTCTGCAGAAAGGAAAAGTGAAAATGAGACATTAGTAGAAAGAGACTATGAACTGTACATGATCTTGGAGGAAATTTTGCCAGGAATGGAAGACTGGCATCCAGCAGTTCCAGTGTCACAGCTGCAGGACTGCTCTTCCCCTTTTCAGATTAGATGCTCTTCCCTGTATCAGTCAGATACTTCTCTAAATAAGCTATATCAGGCAATCCTCACACAAGCAAAACTTCCCTTGTTCATGTTTTAGAGGAAACAAAGTTATTACCATATTATTGCATAAGCATATAATTTCTTTCATTTGGCTTTCATCTTTCATAAATACGCAAGCTCTCAAGACAACAGAAAGTAAAAATATTGGAATGTGAAGAAATTTTAGTAATTTCTACATCCATTTATTTATAGCTTTATAAGATATATTCGGATAGCTACAGAGATGATACTTAACTTTCTCCATTGACTCTGAACAAAGCTATCCATTTAAAAACCTGCAAAGATCAGACATTTCCTACGTTGGTGATGTTAGCTGCAGAAAAACCACCACCCCTGAAGCTGATTTCCTGCCTGAGAAACCATAAGCTAATTGTAGAACAAAAGGTACGTTTTGAGAGGTCCTCCACTTTCAGCAGTTTGCGTTAAAACATATCTGATGCAGAGCAGCTTGTAAACGTTTTGCATGTTCTGTGGAGAAGATATTCTGGTTGATGTATGCTGTTAATACTGCTGGATGTGATGATATAGCATGAAGTAAAGCAAGCTGCATAGTTTAGTGTCAAAATTTTCAGTTTCAGCTGCTCCAAAGAGCATGTATTTGGGTAAAGAGTAGGCAGCTGCCTTTTTTTTTCAGTCAACTGTCATCTTCACTAAGTCACTTTCCACCTGCTACTTTTTTGAAATACTAAAATCCTTCCCACTCTCTTCAAATCAGTTACCAAGATTCAGACCTATGGTGCCAGGATAATGTCTATTACATGACTGACAATGAAAAGAACAGTGTGAAGAAAGCAACAGGTAACTTGTGGCACTTAGCAGGCTGGTTTTGTGGCTTCTTTTTTAAATTGAAATACATTCACTGACATTTATTATTTATTTATTATCTGGTGATGATTACTCCTAGTTTTCTACTAATTTTTTTAAGCCAAATGTTCAGCATATTTGATGTCCAATTTGAACTACTTTTTCATAATTAAAATTATTACTATTAACGAATGAAAATATGTTAACACCTAAAAAAACCAGATTTTCAGAGAACAGCTTCGTTATCTTAGGCATTCAGCTTCTAAAAGTATTTAGGCACACTGTGTTAAGTGCTGCTAGGTCTGTGTGATGTAGATGAGGGGTTCATTTCTAAAATACAATAGGATGACCTTAAACTGAGACCTTCTGACCATCCACATTAATGGTCTCTTAATGTAGTCCCTAGGAATTTTGTTCATACCAGGGCCTGAAGGAAGTCGTGTGGCTCTGGAAAGCTGCCCCCGTCTCTTCCCGTCTGCGTTTGAAACTTGTGTGTGAAGGGCTTGAACATAGGAAGCCAAGTAGAAATAACTTCAGAGCTTGCTGGTCCTGGCTGGGATGTGACTGCTTCACAGGCAGGGGTTACTTTATCAGCATTACATGACCTGCCAAGGGACAAGGTACAAAGACAAGGTGCCCACAGGAGAGAAGAAAAGGGGTTACAGGTGCTGAAAATAATCTCACCAATGGTTAGCACAGTCAGAGTGTTATAGTTTAGACTATAGACCAGTAAGACCCAGTCCCCTACGTTAAATCTATTTCATAAAGTTGGCTGGAATAGTACTTAATGAAAAGAAGAGCCATAGGTGTTTAGGAGCTGTTTGAATTTATGCTATTTTGACTGATTATTTCAAAATATCTAGGACCCGATGCATAGCAACAGTCAGCACTAAGGATAACTGATGGTTTCAATAATGGGTAATCAAGTGTAGAGAAAACTGAAATATCCAGAGTGACTGGTACTTCTGAAAGCAAAGTCCAGATGTAGATTAAAGTTTTAAATGCTCTGATTTCATCCATTTAAGATTTTCAAAACTTGTGGGTGTGGGAATGAAAACACTGCTCATTCATTATTAGTAGCACTCTTTCATTTTTCTGGTTCTTACTGATTGTAAGCCTAATGAACTTGTAAACCAATAGCAACTCCATTAAAATCCTTCTGGCTTTGTAGTGTTCTAAGACAAAACACTGTCTAAAAGTCATTCTTTAAATTTATATAAATATATATTTTCATACATGCACATACATATATGAGCATTTCAATTTCAGCTAAAGAGAACTCACAAAATCTTGATGAAATAACTGTAGACTTTAATATGATACAACCATGATTTTATAGAAGTTATAACACAACTTTTGATACCTATATAACTTCTGCTATAGAACTAATATGGTTGTTCACATGCATAAACATTAGACACCTGCTATTGCTAAACTCAAGTAAATTAGTTTATATTAACCAGGGAGAAGCAGAACTTCAGTATAATCCTTATTGGTCTAGAAAAACATAAGTCTTAGATGAAGTTCTCTGTCAGGTGAGGTAGAATCTGTGTACTTTACGATAAGCAGAAATAAATTAGGATCTTCAGTTCTTCTGCAAAAGTTTTCTCATCATGGAGGTTTCATTAGAACAAGTAAATTCCTTTTATACCTATTGTATAGCAGCTTTCCTTCTAAAAGCTCAAAATACAACACAAATGACAATGCCATTCTTGTGAAAATCCATCTTTCTACAAAACTAAAGAACGTCAGCAAGACTGGTGTAAATATTTTGTGGGTTTCTTTGTTTTTTTAGACAGATAAAAAAAGCCTAGCTTCCCTTTTTACCCTTTGAATTTTGCTGCCATTGCAATTATACTTTGCTGCCAGGACAATCCAAAGAGCTCCTAGGATGATGAAAAGAATGTATTGCAAGGGGAGACTACAAGAGTTGGCTTGTGCAAAAAAAAAAAAAAAAAAAAACGGAAAGGAATAAATTTCAATTGTCTAGAAAGGCATTAGAGAAACCCTTCAGAGATAAAGTAATATACTATTTGATTAAGGGTAATGATTGTCAAGACACAAGTAGATATATGCAGTACAAACACATTTAGATTTTAAATCTGAAGAAAAATTCCAACCATCAGGAAACTAAGTTTCCCAAATAGCCTTACAATAGGTATAAGGGGGGAAATAACATCACTGTCTTTATGACGGCACCTTATTACTTTACAAAAGAGATTTCACGGTTGCCTATAATAGGGAACCAGACTGAGTGACTCAGAAAGTAATTTCTAATCCTATGTTTCCAAATTCCACTTCTTTGTTTAGGTGGGGGTAGGGCAAAGAAGGGTTTATGTAGAAAAGTGAATCATTAATGTAAGATTTTAAAAGGAGAAATAAGGTAATGTGTTTATATTCTCAGACATGTAAACGTAAATATGGAGGAGAGCAGTAACATAATGTACAAGACCAGGTGCAATTGCAAATAAATACAGTAGAGTAAAAAGGATGCAGTGGCTTTTATTATTTCATGCTTGTGAAGTGCACACCTATAGTTTTATTGGTCCCACAGAAAGAAATTTTAATAGTACTGTCCATTTTATAGTCAGCCACGTTGAGTTTCTATACAGGTGAGCAGGCTTCCTAAATTGTATGTATTACTGGGAAAAGATGGCAATCTTCTGTAAGGAGATTCAGACGACTTAAAATGGGGCAGCAATTTGACATCTGACGCAGATGGTCTGAACAGCCCCATAAAAATGCTTTCCTTCTGTCATTGGTTGTAAGCACTAATTTATGCTGAACCTACTTAATGTGTGTTTTCAGTAGCATTTCTTGCACAAGTTTACTTGCTAGATATTATAAAACACCAAAGAACTGAAAGGAAAACAAATTTCACTCATCATCAGGAATGTCATTCAGATCTGTGGCTAGTTGTGTCACCTGACACATGGGTGTTGTTTCTCTGCACAGAAAATTATTTTCCTTCTTCTTTCTTGTTCCCCAATAGGAAACAAGCCCCTTAGTCCAAAGTTCAGGTCAGAATGGAATTTCCACCCTGCAGCATTTCTCTGAAACCACTCTTGGGTGGTGAATCTCTCCTTCTATGCTGGTAATGGAATCCCCCACACAGCCAGTCTATACTAATGATTTTAGTTGCCTCCAGCATCACTTATGACTAAGTGCAAAACCCTCTTTTACCTCACTACCCCCTGACCCTGCTGAACCCAAGTCTAACAAGATGACCAAGGCTGTTCTCAAAACTTCTTCACAGTGGAGCTGTTTATACACAAAGGCATGAACACTTCATTAAGAGTTGGGAATAAAGACCATGTGCTCAGGAGCTAAAACTGCTGCACAAATACGTGTATCCAAACTAGATGTGAGTTCTTCTCACTACTTTTACAGTCTGAGGGCTGGCAGGGCACAAG